ATTAACAACCATAAGACTTCACTTAAAATTTATGTATCACATACAAAACTCAAAGGATTAAATTATGATTGTGTGAGACTTATCAAGCTTTTTTCAGTCAGTTTTTAATCTTTTTTTTTTTTTTGACAAATTTTAGAATTGATTTTTTAAGTTACAAGCGACAGAAGAACTTTGTGAAAATTAAATTTCCAAAACGCAAAGAAATAGTGAAATCATATTATTTATTTGATCAAAATAAGTTCTACTTTGACTGACAATTCGAGAGAATTCATTAAGATATTTCATTTTGAAAATTGAAAATGAAAGATGGCTTACTGGATCCGACATATACTATATCTCGCTTTGTATAAGGGCTTTGTATCGCAATCCAGATTTGAGTCGCATACTCGCCCACGGCGAGCTTTTATACGAACACCTTCCGTTCGGTAACCGCAGTTGGAGTATAAAATGCACGCAGTTAAACTATAACTATTCTATTCAAACGCGCCTCACAATCTCACTTTCTTGTCCACGGGTGAGCAATAACAACAACAACAAAACGAGATAATTAATTTTCGCAGCGACGGATCGCGCCGGATTTTCCAATGAAACAACCGTTCACCGATGTAGCGCAAATAATTCCACGCGCAGGAGGGCTTAATTAATGCTGCCTGTTTACGAGGGTCTCTCTTGCATTTCGCGAACAAAAGAAACCTCGAGATTCCAGCTGCGCTGCATCGCCGGACGGTGATGCTGCGCTTTGCAGCGCATATTGCGGGCATCGCACGCGCGCGCGTGCTAGTTTCGGTTTCCTAAACGCTGCTAATCCATCCGGTCATTCAATATCGAAAAGCAGCTTTCGAGCGGCTTTATGGCGATTTGCGTTGCCCGACCGCTTTGCGAATCTGCAGGACTGTGTCGCTCGTGATAAATCTTGCGTGTGAAAAGGACGCTGCATAACATGATGTGTTTATCATAGTATATTCACGGAATTTCCGAGAGATATAAATAGATATTATCGATATTTGAAAATAATAGTATAATAATAATAATAATAAAATTATATAAATTGTGTCAAGTTTTAATATAATTCAATATTGGTAATATTTGTTACATTTGATAATATTGGTAATATTTGTTTAATGCTATTTATTAATAGTTGAAATGTATGCACATATATTTATTTTTATCGTGCAAACATAATAGAAAAACTTGCTTAAATATGCATGCTTATTTTAAAGCAGCTTAGAAATTAAAAATGCATTTTACTCTCATTTTGCGCTCACATTTCGAAATTCTACGACGACTGGGGCACATGCATATTAATGTCATTTTTGTTCACATATTTTACTATTCATATTATTCGATAATTAAATGTTAGCCATTAAATCTAATTTAAATGAGTGGGCGTTTCTCTCGCCCGATTAAATTATGCGATGGGAATATGTTCAAAACGAGAGCCGGGAAGAAATTATCAGAAATACCCGCTTTGTAATCATATCGCATTCCTGTGCTGCATACTTTTCAGTATCGAATTTTATTCTAGTCGATCGTGTAACGTTTGCCCCAGATTAGCTCACATGCACACGGAGTGTCTCGAAAATTAGAGCCTGCTAATCCGATTAATTTGTTGTTTATTCATCAATCGATCAGATGAGTACGAAGGCAAATGCGATCGCTATTTCCTTCTCTTCTGAGATATCAAACGAACCTTCAGCAGGGAGACGTAGATTGTTATTCGGGAAATGGGGAGAAAACACCGAAGGATCGCGCACATTCGCACGATCCGTCGTTTCTCTGATTTCCCACGATCCCGATTCACGACCACGATTCTTGCCGCAAATTTCCGGTTGCTCGACTCATTAACGACACAAATGCGATCTTCACATCGTCGGGATGCTTCCACGGTGTTCTCGGAACAGGCGATGCGAAATTCGAGAACACACTTACCGTACAATCAAGCCCTAAACACATAACGCTCGGCGCAACAGCTCACTTACACGTGCGCGCATCCACGTGTCCGCCACCCTTAAATGCATCGTGGAACACATTATCGATATAATTTCGTTCCAAAGCTTTTATGCAAAAATTAATCTGTCAATTGCACGATGATTGCTTGCCTGATCAATTAAGCAAAATTAAGGATATTCCCTAATATTTGCATTTATTTGTAAGAATTACGCGTTTAATTAGATTATTCCAACTTTTTAATTTGCTGCTAGGCAATTTTTTTTAAACGATTAAATCAACAATTTTAATTTTAACTTGTTCTGAATTTTGATTTTCTCACTAAGTGACAATGTAAAATATGATTTTATTCATAGTTATTAGAAAAGATAATCAATGACTGTGCTAAATGCATAGTAGAAGATTGAAAAATTGATTTAATGTGAGAGAGATCGATAAAAATTATAAAATTACTCGATTTTGATACAAGATTGACATCATCAGTAATAAACACAAGAGAGAGAGAATAGACGAAGGCGCGCAATTAACTCAGGTTGGCCTCTCTCTCTCTCTTGCCCTTACCCTGACAGGCGACGGCTACGATACGCCATTAGATTATGCATCGACGTTGTTGTAGTGCAGTTTATTACCGTGTTACTACATACGGAGGCAAAGGGGGGTAGAACGGGTATGCACATTGTGTGCATTGCGTCACAGCCCTCGTGGCCGGGACTGATTTTATCAAGGAGATTTTCTGAAGATGTACAATATCCCGGAATGTTTTCTTGAGAAAATGCAAACAAAGACGAACGATAAAATGCAAGATTCTTAATATTCAAAAAATATTTTGACAGTGCAAAAGTTTTATTAGAATTTCTGAGAATTTTCGACCTTTGAAATTTTAAAGATTTAGTAACATCGAAAGAAACGTTAATGATAAATGCGTTATCGGATCGCGAATTCGTTCGATGATCCAGAGATCTAAAAATGCGAGACACCTGATACGCAACGAAGTCTAATGATTACAAATCCATAGGAATTCAAGAATCTAAGTGCTTGGAAAAATCCAGATTAAAATTGTTGGAAATTTTGCTGGAATAATCGCGAAAATAGATGTTAAACTGAATATGAGATTTTTCCGCGACTTGAAGCGCACCTGAAATTGAAGTGGCGCACAAATAGACCGTAAAAGGGTCCAAGTAGCTTATCGATTAGTCTCTTGAGCATTAGGCGGTGTCCTTTTTTTTCCGCTCCGGTGCAGAATTAATACGGCGCCAATTTCGCCCCCGCTTTATGACGGCAGTTTCCTTCTGTTGACAAGCGGAGAAGGAATATCGACGGGTTATTAATTTTTCCTTCTTGATGTGTAGGCTCGCGCACAATCAGACGCTCTATTCAGAGCGACGGACGCTGCTCTCGATAGTAGCTTTTGACTTCGCCACCTTGAGACCGACATCAAAGACTCGCAACGAAGTCAGACTCGCTCATTGAGCATTTGTGCGAACGCTCAACCTTTTTTTTCTCTCTCGCTTTCTCTCTCTCTCTCTCCCTCCTCCTCTCTCTCTCTCTCTCTCTCTCTCTCTCTCTATTCTCTCGTGAATTCCAGCAATAACGAGACGAGAGATGAAACGCGGAACACAAAATGCACGTTCTTTATTTTACCTCCGGGAATTTTCCTCGCAGAATTCCAGCTCTTTTTGCTATGGTTATGGTTATACGGGAAAACGAGACATTTCGATTTAACAGTAGAATAACCGTGGCAATGAAATTGATCTACTTTAACGCGTAATGTACTTTACTCGTTAAAGAGTCCCGTTGAAATATAATAGGAACAGAAATGAGAAACGAAACGTTCTTCTTTAGTTACTGTCGCGGCTGATTTTAAGAGGCATTCAGTTTTAAGCGCTGTTATCGAGATGCGATTAACTTTTAATAATTTTAACCCTCTTTAATCCTTAATATCGTAAATCGTTCACGCACCGATGTCACATATTGCTGCACCTGTTTTATTCTTCTTCAGAACTCGACATCGCGGAAAAACTGAGCAAAAGGGCAATGCGAGAAAAAGAGAGAGAGAAAGAGAGAAAGAGGAGGCATTGAGTTTTTAGATCTTAAAGCGTAAAACGCTTTGTGGTTATTAAAAAGGAAAGAAAAAGAAATGACGCGAGTCACCTACGCGGTGCTCTGTGTCATCAGGTTCGAATTACGCCCCCGACTTCGCAATTGCGAAGCTTTGAACGGCAAGCAGCTCCCTTTTTTTTTTACAACGTAGTTGACTGTAAAGCCATACTCGCGCCGCGTTTAATTACAGAGACCCCACCCCGGCCGGCTTGTTATCCGGCAGCTTGTCATTATTATCGCGATTGCGAGAGCGCGGACGTGCGAGGCGACGTATCGCCGACAAGTCGGAAATAAAAGCTTGCCTCTCGTCGAACAATTCCGCCGCGACACAATCGAGTTGATAATGGATTTTTAATCGAATTCCCCTTTTGGCTTTCTGAATTCCAATTATGCGATGATTATATCGAAGCCATCCGTATTGTTAAACCGTTTGGTCTTTGGGCTTTTGCAAATCGTTGAATTATATCCTTGAATCCTTTTCTTAAACCTTTATGCACATATATAGGTGTTCTCCAGCTGGACTTATAGATTTTTTAACTTTTCTTAAACCGTCCCTTTATTATTCTCTGAGAATTTTAAAGATTCTAAAGACTTAAAAAAATTTATTTTTTAAATCTTTGGACAACTGACTTGTATATTATATCAAACCTTCTTGAATTCAACGAGAACAGTTCCGTTTCTTATTACCATCATTATTATTATCTTTACTTCTACATATTTTTTGCGTGATGCATTGTTGCGATTGCATGCGCTATCCGCATATTTACATCGTACATTCGTTATTGCTTAAATAAATATAATAAATAGATTTGTTGTTTTACTTTTCGTATAAATATTAACAGTACATGCAAAATATTGCGCATGTATCGAATAGAAATTTTATTTTCAATATTTTTCCGCAAATTCGAAAACACTGTTTGATTGCTAACATTTAATCATCGATGATTCTTTAGTATGTCGCCACGCAACGGTTCTTGCGTGGCGGAAGTGAGCTCCGTGAGGAGTCTCTCGTCGGACGATGTCTCGGCGACCAAGACGAACCGGAAGAAGTCGTGTTGGGCCCGTGCGACCGATCCGGCCCATCGTCGTGGCCGGCGGATCCAGCTGCTGCAGATGCTGGTGCTGCCCTTCATACCGATCCTCGCCCTAATCGTGCAGACCGCCAACACCCTCCACGACATTTTGATCTATCGTCAGGAAGTGTCTGACATAGAGTCGCAGGTGAGCAAGCTGCCCTTATTAACTAATTAATTAATTTTCCTATTTTTCTACAAAACTAAATCATACAATTAAATATATTACGTTTAATTTTTCTATTTGACATTAAAGAATGGAAATATGATTTGTATATGTGGTTTATATAACTCGACGTAATTATATACGGTTTATATAACTCGACGTAATTGTATTTATTTATACTTGGTCTTTCCAAAGTACACGCTATCCGAAAGCTAAACATAGTGCATTTTGAAGTTCTTCGAAGAATCCACATATTAGAGTAATTAGGCGGTAGTTCCGACACGCCGGTAGATAACGTTCTCTGCGTGAAGTTTCACTGAAACTTCGGTTTTCCAAAATACACACTGCTTCGGTGCTGTCTATAAAACAGGCGAAAAGTTCACGCGCGCACGTGCATTGCGCCCTGATAATTATAGTAAAGAGCGCAATTATGCCGAGTTATTATTATGGTTATAATTTACCGGTGATCGATCGGCGGCGGCGGTTCTGAAGGTAACGAGAGGATCAGCAAATACACCGCACCTACGCGCTTTTACGTCTTCGAATAATGTCGCGTCATAATCGCGGCGTTACTACTTAAACTGCGAGCCGCACGATTAATTCCCTCAATTCTCTTGCTTTTGAACCCCCTTTCTATTTGTTTTGTAAATAAAAAATCCTTTAGCTGATATTTATTATTCAAGATTGTAATAGTAGATCTTTTTGAATATTGAAAGAGTTATATATATATATACATTTTTCAGAGATTTTAACTTTATCAGTTGATGTTGTAATTCGATGGTTTTATTTCCGTAATGTTGATTGTACGATAAGTGTTGAGTACACATTTTCACTTCCTCCGCTGAAAATACATATTTTTGAAAACTCGGTCAAGTTCTGCTGCGCGTAGAACGCGAAACAATGAATGGAGATAAGTGTTTATCGGACGAAACTATATATTTCGCTGAAACAGTCAAATGAAAACCTAACGCAGTTTACGGCAAATAAGTGAGTGATGCCACGCGCGCGTCTCTTTTGTTCGCTCCGTGCTTTCGCGGTGTGAGTCCGAAGCGCAAGCTCCGTGAGCTTTGATCGCAGCATCCGCAATTTCGCAAATCGAGTGACGGCCGGTGTTCGCCGAGCTATCACAGAGATGCGGACGACTACCAGCGGCGATATAGTCCGGCTATTGTTAATGAAAACGTCGGGTGCTCGTTGGAAATCGCGCCCGGCATGTGCGATTCGATTTCCGATCGGTGCAGCGACGCCCGACCGGCTGCTGCAGAAGAAATTACGTTACAGCCGTTCTCTCGCGCGCGACGAGCCGGCTATTTTTATTTTATTCTCTCACGCACGTTCGGATTATCGACTCGCATATACACGCCACCATCATTCGCGCCCTTTTGCTACTTTGAGGAGCGCGTGCAAGGGATGATGAAATAAAATAAGAAGAGAGCGATGGAAGGACAGAGACGTAATTAATATTCAATCTCTCCTCGGGGAGTTGAATTTTAGAGGAAATGGCAATTTTTTTATTTGCAAAATTTATTAAATTTATGAAAATTAATGAATGTTTTAATTTTTAATTTTATTATAGTATTTCTTAAAAGGAGAGATAATTTTAATTTAATTTTATGTATGTAATTCCCAAAAAGCACAGTTTTTGGGAATTTAATAAACCTTTTATCCTTTATTTCAGGCAATGTAAATATTTTAAATGTTTTTTTAGTTTTATTAAAGTTGTTTTCGTTAATTTTGTATTATTCCGTAGATTCCGGAATTAATTAATTAAATTAAACAAGTTTTGTTTGAAATATCTTTTTACGTATTTATAACAGTTAACCATTTAACATTGAAACACTATGTAAAATTTTAGAATTACTTTTTTTTAAAAACTTAATTTAAAGACTTCTTAAGTTAATTAGACAAGGAATAAATTTTGATCGGATGTAATGTACGGACTATCGTCTTGAATGTAAATTCTCATCGCGCCGTTCTCTCCTTCGTTACGGCGAGAAAATTTCCACTGTCTAATCGCCCTATCCACAAATGTATTAAACGCGGCCCTCGTGGGAGCGGAGGGTGGATCAAATCGAAATTCATTGCGGCGCGGCGTTAGCTGTAAGGGAATACGCTCTTCGATCTCGAGTTACTTGTTTGACGAGCGTCGAAAGAATAGATGCCATTGTCATCAATGTCGGATGTACGTATGTTTGCGATCGTTTTCGCGCTTGTAGACTGACGAGTGTTCTCGTACCACGTCAATGCACCCTACACTTCGACACACCCTCTATAATTTAACGTGACAAGAAACTTGGAAATTTTTCCCTCTCTACAGCTCGGATCGGAATTGCGAAATTCTCTTTTACGCCCTTTTTTTTTTATTAACTTCGATTTTTTTTCTATTTTTGTAACGCTGAATTTTGTCAGTTTTGTGCGCCGTTGAAGTTGGTAAAATGAGAATTGAACGTCACATAAATTATTTTACATAAATTTCTTTTATGACGGCGCATTAAATGAGAACAGAACGAGGTATGTAATTTATAGAGGATGGAAATGTAAAGCTGTGTGGAAGAAGTAAAATACACGAAATGAGGGGAAGTAATTTATGGAATTGGAAACTCATAGGAAAAGCGTGTGATATTGAAGTCGAATATTTGTAAAACTGAAAATTTATATGAAGAAAATGTTTTATGAATTTAGGATTTTATAAAGAAGAGATTTACCAAGGATTTGTGCAAGCAAAGCTTTATGTATCTGAAGATAAGTGATAATTTCTGAATAATCTCTGAAACGATTGCAGGATTCTTTCATAATCCAAAATTTTAATTTGTAATTTTACTTCTGAATAATTCACTTTTTACATTAAGAGTGAATTTAGGAACTTGAATGCGTAGCAATTACAAAATCAACATTTCACGGCGGTGAACATTTTCTTGCCGTCTGCACGTTCGTCCGGGCTTAACCCCAATCCTCCCGACAACTTTGCCACGTTTCCGGAGCAACGACGATAGCCGTTGAATGACCTCTGACCCACTCAAGATGCTAGGTTTGCCTGGCTTAAAAAGTTCGTGGCACGCTGGCAAAGTCTCGGATTACTTCGTTGTATACGAGAGCTTTATTGGCAGAGAACGGGTGCGTTGGCACAACACAGAACTTTCTGTTATAGTTCGCGAGTTTATGAAGGGGTGTCCTCGGATGAGATGGCTCTTACTGGCGAGAGCTCTTATTCGCGCGTGAGAGAGAAAGGATCGTCGACAAAAACGTCAGCGCGTAATTGCGATCGCTATGCAATTTTGCAGCCGCGCTAATAATCGTCCCGGACATCAGCGGAGGGTCGTAAAGCGATTTTATCGTCGCAATATTAATTGCTGCCGCAATAAGCCGGTAAATTGAAATGAAAACAGGGACGATCATGCGCGGCTCTCGAATTAATGAGATTTCTTAATGACCAACGAAAATTTAGTTAAATTGACGACTGAGCAGGCGAGAGATTTCTCGTGAGATTAATGATACTGGAGATCCATCATTTTTCTCGAGATCCAAGACTCACGGATATTCAATGACGGATCTAACCAATTTTTCGAATTTTCCTCAGAAAAAATGCAAATTTAACGATTTACGAATGTCAGAGAAACTGTCTCGAGAACGAAAACTTGCGAAAACGATAGAAAATGATACCGAACTGATTGAGTTCGTTGATTGGTAAATGCAAGATTATTAATACAAATTACAAAATATAAAAAAACATAGAAAATGACGATTTTAATCGAAACAGGCTTTTACCTGATATATTTTCTCGTTCAATTGAGGCTATAGCACGAATCTCAAGAGTGACGGTTATTTAAGCTCTTGGGACTTGGAGTGGCCACTCGGTGTCTGTTCCGCGATGTTTTGCCACTTAAGACTATCTACTCGGTCCTTCGTGTCTTACAATTAGCCCTGTCTTCTAGCGGAAGTTTAACGAGGACGTCGGGCCATTCTAACGAAAGTGAGTCAGCGTCTCCTTCGTAGGCATTGAAAGATCTTGCAAAAAATTTATTAAACTAGAATTTAATCAAAATCACAAGAATAATTTTGTCCAAATAATATTCTATTAAACAGATAAATAAGTTCTGCGCTTTGCACTTTTTTTTAGAAAAATTATCAGAACATTCTAGTTATCTTTGACAATCGATGGTTGACAACTGCAGGTGACGATAGCCACGGACCTGGGCAAAATGGTCACCAGGATGCAGCTGGAGAGATCCGAAGTGGCCTTTTTCATCTACACCAATGGCAACACCCTGAGGTACGCCTAATTATTTTCAGAATTATCTTCTTTTACAGATAATTTGCATCTCCAAATTTCGACGATGCAAATAAATTTGGATTTCTTCGTTAATGAATGATTCGTAACACACAACACAATTAACATAATTTAATTTATCAATTTAACATAAAATGATGAAATTTTCTTATTTTAGAAATATTTTATAAAAACCAAAGAACACTTTAGCGCAATGGCATTTGAAATTCTTCGAAACACAATTATTCTTCTATCTTTGTGCAATTATTATTCTACCAGATTGTTTTAAATTTCCGTTGACCCAGCCATGTGATCGTGCCACAGCGACGTAAATGTCGTTTTTTTTTTTTTTTTTTTCTCAATCGAATGCAAGTCTTCCGTCGCATTTCGCGTGATGAAAACGGATGGTTTCCTCGATTCTTGCAATCGAAGTGAAACGCGCGAATGCAAACACGTTTCTGCAAAACGAAAGCCTCCCGGAATACCGGAATAGTCGCGACAATCGCTCGGAAAGCTCTACGATTCGATTAAAAGCAATTCGCGTGGTCTTGTTCTAAATCTTTCTGTAATGCACATCTTGATCTCTTAGCAAATTTTCTTCCGTGGAGACTTCACTTTCGACACAGAGCGAAGGAGAATTGAAAAATTTAGGGAAAATTTTAAAGATTAGTTTATTCTAAATAATATAATTAAGGATTTTATGCCTACGAGATTCTATATTTCTATTCTTTTATATTATTTTAATTTTTTTGCTAAAATTGTGTATTTTTCATTTGCAGATTGTATTTCAGAAGTAGAATGTATACTAAACAAGTAAATATTTTTGTTTTCTCGCTATTTTTATTTTCGAAAAATAGAAAGTATGGTGTAATATATTTGTCCAATTAAATTCCAGGTGGGACAAATTCTGAAAAATTCATAAATAAAATACCTTGCTAGTCGCGAAAGGGTTAATTACGTTGTGCCTTGCACAATACAATGTATGCGTACATATTTGTTTTCACCAGTTTTACTTTATTTTATCCACACACAATCCGCGATTTTTTCGCTTGATAGGATATTTTACATCTCAAGCCATATCTTTCTCTGTAATCCACTATATTTTTCTATATCTGGCAAGTAGGTCAAATCTAACGCAGAGATTCACCATAACCGACCAGGACCTCCACAACATGAGCACGTGGCCGCTGGTATCTGTACCCAGAGACGAGAGCAAAACGCAAGCGTATGACGTAGTAAGCAAGGAAGCTTTCCAGGCACGCCTAGAGGACTTTAGGTAAGTCAAATCGATCCTTTGTGAACATTGTCCGCCATAAAAGCAACTGACAGCCGTGAACTCATGCCCATAAAATTCTATTTGATTCATTAAAACGGCCAACTCTTGCGAACCAATTGGATTAAATTAACCAAAAAAAAATATATATATATATATATAGAAGAATTTTCACCTCAATTTTCACCTCAATTTTTACGGAATATATGACACAAAACAGAAAATGTTAATAAAATTGTAAATTTTTCGCACCAACTCGAAATTTTTAATTTCACTTTTGTTGAAATAATTGATATTTAACGCTGTCGTGCTCTCTCTAACGCCAATTAAACTGAATATTAATACACAAGTTATTAAATATAACAAAAATTGCTAGGAATATAAAAATTTATCTGCAACAATCTGTTAAAAATAATTTTGAACACATTTATTTAAATATATAAATATTTTTGAATACATTTATTTAAATATATTTCCTTTTTTAATACTAATTGTGAAATTTTTATTTATTTTATATTGATTTCTGAAATATAACTACTTTTTTAGCAAAAAAGATTTTACATGAGATCGTTGAAATGTGAGCGAATTAATATGTATTTTAAAAAAAACTTAATATTTTCCTTAATAATACTCTTAAATGTGCGATAAGTTTCAAACAAAGATTCTCATTTATCTCAATCATCATTACTTTCTTACGTGAAAGTTGTATATACTTCGGACGCGAGCAATCTTCACCTAATTGACTTGAAAGGCTTTCGCACACAAACGCACTGTAATTACGCAATAATTATGCGATGCTGCGGAAGGCGGCGTAATTAAGACAAATTGCGGTTCTTGAGAGCGAATGGTATTGCTTTGAACGTTAGTATCCAACGGTTAATTCTCGTGTTAACTTTACCCCTTTCTCTCTCTCTCTCTCTCTCTCTCTCTCTCTCTCTCTCGCGCGCGCGCGCGCGCGCGCGCGCGCCAACCGGACTGGCACGTCTACACCGCTCGTATGGAAAGTTACGATAGAAGCTCGAGCTGTTCCCCCGAGCCTTCATCCCGACACTTGTTGAATTTCCATTCAGTTTACGAGAGCGGGAAATTCTCCTCTGTCTCTCTTTTTCTCTTTTTCTCCCACAGGCTCGTGTCCCACCTGTAAATATTCGCGCAGACATCGAGTCGCGTCCCGAGAACAAGAGCCCGCAATATCTGATCGATGAGACGCACTACAACTGTCGAAAGGAAAAATCTCAAATAAAGTTATTTCTCCAAATGTTAAATTTTCTTTTTTTGATACTAATTCTTATAATATTTATTTCATTGATTTTTAAGAAGCGGACATTTCCTCGGCCGAAGAAAAATATTTTATTAAAGAGAAGATCTCGAAAATGCAAGCGAATTGACATTGCATCTTAGTAATGAGATATGAAACAATTTTGTAATTTGCGAGAAGCTTTCATATTTAATTTTCTTCAATATTGAAAATTAACGAGATGCATCGAGAGATGTGGAATAAACAAGCAAATTACGCGTAAACAATTTTCATTGCAGCTGAAATTCGCGGAACTGATGTTTCGCATGCATTAGTTATTTCTCTCGAAAATTCTTCATTTATTTTTCACTTTTTTTCCCATCTACACACGTGTGTGCGTGTGTGTGCGCGCGCGAAAGTATCGAAATTTCTGGCGTAGGCAGTAGGCGATTCGATAATGGGAGGCGGCGCATCGGCAAGAGCGATATTTCATCGTTAATGCTGGTCGCGCAATGTACAGGTCGCATCGGGAGAACTCCAAGCGACTAGGGGATGGTATATCAAGCGGTACATCAAACGTAAGATAACGCGTTCGCGACGAGGTCGTCGCGATCGTATTTTCCGCCGCAAAAGAAATAGGACGGCGAGGAAAGGAAAACTGGCCGCAGGCGCCGCACGCTCTCCTCGATGTATCGATAGGTGGAAAGAAAAGCTGGAATTGTTGTAATTTCCCGTTGGCCTGCGAGAAAAGAAAACGTCGGCACGAGCGAAAATGAGAAATTTTTTTGCATAAGGTATATAGCGCTTCGATTTTTCCGCAGAGAAAATGGCGAAATAAGCTCGTTTTAATACACCCCGCGTAAAAACACATACTCTTCTTTCTTATTTTTCCTGGAAAAAAGGGAGAGGGAAAGTATTTTATAAAAAAAATCACGCTTTTAACGAGGCAAGGCTGCCGATGCGGAAGGAAAGAGGAAAAAAATTATTTTTAATTAAAAGAGTCTTACGTGGATTTTAATTAGAATTAAGCGACGACGCGTGATATCGTCCGACTAGCGAAAATATCGTGTAGCTGCATTGACGACCGTAACGCTGAAACCTCTCTACAGCTACAGTCACATTTCACAAACAGTTTCTCTTTGACGTTTGAAGAATGGGCTTTTTCGACGATAAAAAATTCTCGAACGTATACACGATGGTCCGCCACGTAACATTTCAGTGACATTTAAATGACGTGAAATGCAATAAAAATGCCGGTAAATTTTTGAAACTGCGCTGTGAAAATTGAGTCGAGTACATCAGTATATAGTCAAGCGTGATATAAATTTTCTCTTACTGTTAATATATAAATATACAATAAGTGATATGAAATTAATATGAAAGTTGGCATAGAAAGGTTCAGCATTTAAAAATTGTTTTTAATCTTTTTCAATTAAAATTTGCAAAATTGCACGTGCATGTTGTTGACAACATTTCACAAGTTTTAACAAAATAAGTACTTTATATTTCAAAACCTTTTTGCTCTTTTACACAATAAAAACCCGACGTACAAAAGTATCCTAATTTAAAACGTGTCCATCAATTAGCTTTTCAATTCGGTACTAAAAAATTCTGTCACGCGCTGTTGGCGCACTTTTTACGATCGCTTTCGCCGAACGATCGTGTCCGGCGATTTAATTAAGGTAATTTCGGTGCCGGGGAGCGACGGGTAATTTAATCGGAAACGCCCTCATACACATCTGCCGATTAAACCTTTTCCTATCGTCTAATTATATATGTAACAGAGGGTCAAAAGGCGTGGCGAAGACGAGCGAGAGAGCGGCGAGCGCGAGCGTGTACACGCTTTTATAATAGCCCTCGGCGTGTCGTATTTGTCTTGTCGCATCGATCGATGATAAAAATATTTAACCCTCACATCCCTCCTCGCCGCAGCGGAGCAGACCTCGCAAAATCGAATGCAAATGCCGGTGACGGCCTTTTTAATTAGCGACGTGACGTGAACGGAGATGCTCTCGGAATACTTGGAGAGTATTTGCACAGAATGTTCTGGAAACATCGTCGATCGTAACCGATCGTAAAAAATGTACGATCCGACGAGTGTTCCGAAAATAAAAATCTCCTCATGTCGCGATATGAATAGAATGTTTGCAAAACCATTTGTCGTAGAATATACATTTTATTTAATTGTAAAAAATTTTGAATATAGAACATATGAGTAATTTGTTTAATTGTAAAAAAATTTAGAAAAAAATTTAGTAAAAAAATTTAGAAAATTCTTGGAACGGAGAAATCGCTCGAAAATTGTCTAAAACACCAAATTCTAGAATTTTCTTTTGATTTCTAAAATATTCTTAGATTGAAGTATGTACTTTAGGCGAAAGAATCACAAACGCGAGAGAAGAAAAATCCATGGCTTTCGTTGATTACGTTCATATATACATATTTTCATTGATTGCGCAATAGTCGCGCGAATTTCCTTGGTCGGTTACGCAAACGCGTTACGCAAGGAGGAAAATAATGGTTCTGCCGTTTTTGTCCTTTCATGAGGTAGGTCGTGCCCCACACAAGTAATTTCCACTTTGCGAACGAGCTCGCTGAAATCGCTGCTGATTTCAATGTATCGCGCTTGCGGCAATATTTATAAAAGGCACGTTTTTCGTTCCGGCGGAGCGAAAACGGCGAGTGCGCGCCCCGCCGGCCGGGTGCAGACACACGTACGACCAATAAATCGATAGGACGATAAAATATCGATATGGAAAAGCTGGTGTGTTGCGCGCACCGCCGACGGGCATGAAGACAGAATATTTTGTACGAAGCTGCCCGCACGCTCTGCTGACGCGACAATGCGCCACTGATTGTAACGGGTGTCCTCGACTTGTGTAGCGGAAACTTTAATTTTGAGTCGATTACATCAATGTGATGCAACTTCAAAATATTAGGCACTTTTATTTTCTTTGTATTACTGATTGAAAATGCGAATGCGCCGTTATTGCGTTGTCTATCCATAAAAATGTGAAAGCGCACGAAGAGAAAATGAAAGGAACTTTTTAAAGTGATTGAAGGAGATTTTTATTTTGAGTTTGAATAAGCAGAATTAATCCATTTCGAGCGGATAATTTCAGGGAAACAGACACAAAAATCATATAAGTATTTGTACATAAATTTGCAGAAAAGTTGCCCAACGAAAACTTATTAATTGATTAAGAATTTATTAAGAATAAATATATAATATTTTATAACAATAATTATTGCTATTAAAAGATGAGCTTCTTTAGAGAGTGGCTTTATGTTTTTAAGCTGCTAAATGAAAACGATATATCTATTTTGTAAAGTAAATCTTCGCCGGCATTGAAAAAACTCTTTCTACCGAGCAAACCAAGTAGCAACGGAAGCAGAAATAAGGCGAAAAGAGGCTAACACGAGTCGTACTACTTGCAAACGGCTATCACGACCACTCACACACGTGCACAGAAGACAGTTGCGGCGTATTTGCGTCATCCGGTACAACCGATAACAAGCCGCTAACAATCCTTCGGCTTCGTTTACGAAGCTTGCGGAAAAAGGGCGAGAACCTTACGAAGATATATATCGGACAGCCGATCGATGCAAAAAGAAAATACATTATAAAGATTCCTTCGGATTTTCTTCAGATTTACTTGCATATTCTTTTTATCTTTATAATTTTTATAGAATTTTTATTTTACAATTGTGTTAAGGAAACCTTGTTTCAATTCTAGAATATACTTTATGCATTTATTCATTTATACATTCAATAATATATATTATTTTTCCTAAAAAAGAGTCTGATTTTAAATATGATTTATATGTATGCCGGTTTGCTATGTTAAATCAAAATGAGATATATTTATATAAATATAATATAATAATTTTTATTTCTGTAATTGATATCCAGCAACTAGTTGATGTTCTTTTAATGAGGAATTTTTTATTGATCAATACTGATTTTTGTCGGAAGAAAAATTTGGAAAGAGGTCATCATTTGTTCTATCTTTTTAATTTGCAACATCATGTTTTTTTAAAAAATAAGTTTTAAATTGGAGTTAACTGAAGAATATGGCTCTGTTATTTCTTTTAAAAGCATTTTTGAGAAAGAATTGAATACAAATTAATTAAAAAATAACTCGATAAAAAAACATTCGCGAATTTTTGGGGACACCTTATGTATATATATACTTTATTAAAAACTACATTATTTTATACAAGATGTCTTATGACAGAAGAAGAGAAGTTGCTGGAACTAATTAACTGTTATTTTTAAACGCACAGAAAGCAAGAAAAGTAAAATACCTTCCAACAGAGGACATTTCGCAGTTTTATTTACATATGAATTAAAGATAATATTTTTATTATTAAATAGACGTTTATAAAAAAGGTCAAATATCGTTAATTTTAATGATATATATTTTCGAAGTGAGAATTATAACAAAAAATCAAATCACTTTCGAAAATTATAACTATAATTGTAACTTTTGTTACAAAAAGTTTTTTATAGTTTCCAAAAGCGACTTAATTTTTGTTATAATTCTGACTTCGAAAATATACAGCATTAAAATTAGCAAAATTTAGAATTTTCTTATAAACGTTTATTATAAAAATATTTCCGATTTCTTTAGTTTATATGTAAATAAAACGGCAAAATGTTCTCTGTTAGAAGATATTTTATTTTTCTTGCTTTTTGTGTGCGTTTGAAAATGACAGTTAATTAGTTTCAGTATGAGACACTCTACAATTTCCGCTTATTTTTCAGAAATTTTATCCTAACGCCATATTTCTTCAGCTGCTTGTCGTCAAGACGTATAAGTAGTATTACTGTTACATTAGTCATACCGTTTATGTCTCCTCTATCATTGTCATCCACGGTTTATATCTCTTAATGCGCTTTTAGGAAATATCCCAGGGAATGCACAATATACGCTTCTCCGTCTCTCTTCAACTCTTTTTCAGCCCTCTCTCTCTCTCTCTCTCTCTCTCTCTCTCTTGTAATAATGCATTTATTTACGACGGAATGTACGGCGATTGAATTTCAAATAAGCGGAGAACGATTGAATATAGTTACCGTCTTGTGACATTATTGCTCGTACTCATTTTAGTCGTGTCGCGATACACTACGATTCCTCTTACAGTTTTTGCTTCTCTGCGCTTCAGGGTAATCAATCTTAGAAGTGCCAGCAATAAAACTGTCTATCCATCTCTTCTCTGCCGTATCACTGGCTCCCCTTAAGATACCGTCTTTTGATGACGCTCGACATGCTTTTTAAGCGTCAAATTGTGCGATCGGAATTGACATTGTAATATCAAAACGCTTGTGAAAAGGGACGCAGCGTTAAATTTCATTAAATTTTATGCATATATTTGTCACTTTATGATTACGCATACTATAATAAAAGCTTTATGTGTGTACGAAAGGCTATAATTTTTACATAATCGATAAATTAATAAATAAATGTTTAACATTTCAGAAACGTTTTCTGAATTTATTTTAGATAAAAAAGAAGGAAACTAAATCACTGACGCTTGAAATTGGATAAATTCAATTTTTTTTTCTGACGTTAGAGTCAAATCGTAGTCAGCGTGACTGCGTCTCAACGCTGCTATCTAGCGTTCCACGAATTTATATACCTTTACTTTCGTTCTCTTCTCATCATCAGCTTTCTCCCGCGTTCTCTTTATGAGCAATGGAAGAGGTCGTCACACATGAGCGCGCGAGCGCCCATTTAGAGCAATATACAGTATTTTTAGTACTCTTGTCTCTCTCTCTCTCTCTCTTTCTCTCCCTTCCTATACTCTTTCTTCTGTGTCTCGCTCTCTCTTCCTCCCTGTTTCCCCATGGTTGTCGTTTGTCCGTGGTTGAAATCTCACCTCGACACCATGACGTTCAACACGCCGATCGAACCCCTCGGTAACAAATGCGAAGGTCTAACCATCGGTGTCACACTATCGATTGATGTCGCCATATGCGAATCCTCGTGCAAAGCGACTCGCAGGAATTTCTGTTTCTTCCTTAATGTATGCGAAATCGTTTCTGGATTTCCGAAAAATGTTCCGAGTGTCGAGGCATCGGAATAAATATAACATAAGCAAAAACTTTCATATTTTTTTATAAACTTTGACACACGAATGTTCACGCTCACTCTTCGTTCTTATTTTAATTCATATTGATTTTTAAAATTCTGAGTTTTATCCTTCTCGTTTCTACATTTTGAAAAGCAACGATGTGTCGATTACTGATACTTTTTTTTTTTTACTTCTGACACACTAATTTCCTGTTTCAAGAGAAAGACGAGTGTTGAATCAGCACAAATAACTTCCGGATCGCGTAAGATCGTTCGCGCAGATTATTCCGTCACGCGACGTTGCAATTACATTCGCATTACATTCGCGATTACGACAAGATCGCAATTCGGAATTTTTTCTTTCCGACGTGTTAACTTGCGTTATGCGACAAAAAGATAACACGGCATATAGTTTGTTCATTTGTTCTTCGCAGGCAAAAGATAAGTTCGGAGGGGAGTAGTATCAGCGAGGTGATGGCGTGGTACACGAGCGTGAACGCCGCTATGCTGGATCACCTGACTAATCAGATCAAGGAGACGGACAACAGCGGAGTGTGGAGGTAACGATCAAAGTCCTTCCCCCCTCCCCAAAAAAAAGAGGAATAAATATCCGAAAAAGATTTCTCGGGGGAAAACGAGAATTGTCGAAGAGTCCATCGCGTTTTTTTCGAATTTTTCTTTCAGATATCTGATAGCTTTTAAAAATCTCCTACGAAGCATCGAGAGCCTCGGCATCGCCTCCGTGGAGGGGATCAATTACTTCGGCCGCGGTATTCTTCTCGGCGACAACTACGTGAGCTACGTTCGCCACGAGGCACTTGGACGCGATCTGTTGACCGCCGCTCTGACGTATGTGCCATCACTGAGATTGTTTTACGACGAGCTAACACGCACCATGCCCGCGTACGACAAGATCAAGGCAAGGTAAAAGATGTTTCCCGCCTCCGCGTGTCACCCGCGTCTCGATTCCTACATCGTGCGAAATATTATTTTGTCAGAGGAATCATCGGAACTCGCCATAATACATTTGCATTAAATCTTTCATATATAATATTTTATATAAAGAACGCAGGAAGATAAAATTTATTTGTATTGTGGTTTAAAATAATCCGTGTAATAACAATATGCTGTCGCAGTTAAACGATGAAGAAAGAAGTGCGATTATATAATATTCTAATTATAAAATTTAGAAATTGAACGCTTTTTCGGCGAATTAAAATATTCGCAGATTATTGCTCTCCTTTATCGAGTTCGGATTGTAATTTGAAAAGTGTTTCGTGAATGGAATTTGCGTGCTTTCATAAGCATCGACCGCGTAACGGGCTGATGACGAATTATGGCAATAAGAGACGCGAACGAACGTTTGTGCATTCTCTCTTCTCAGACGGGACGAGATCCTGCGAAATCAAAAGAGGGAGCCGAGCGTAGACGATGCAATCGACTACTTTGACTCAATGGCTACTTACATCGACGAGCTGCGTAAGCTGCAGAGAGAGTTACGTCACATGATAAGGTAATGGAATCCTCATAATCAGATTGTCTCTCTTCTCGCGGATCTGTCTCGGCGAGATTCATGAAACGCAAATGGACACGCCCGCGTAAAATGAGTCGTCTCTACACGCCTATATTTGGTAATAGCCACTGTAATTGGAAAAGAATCGATTTCCTCGTCTCGTCGAGACAATTCGCGAGAGAAACTTCTCCGCGGCAATTACTCGATAATTTATTTTAACGAATATACAAATCTTGATCAAAGCTGGCTCATAAATTTGTCGAATTCGCTAAATCAGATTTGAATAAATTGCAATATGTTAAAATTCACAAAGGTTTAGAATTTTTTCATTCTTCTCCTGATATTTTCTGTGTTTGCATTTTTCATAAAGTTTAAAGAAAATTGTGAAATAATTTTGCTAGGTTTCTCAATTTGCGAATTTCAAGTGGCAATTTTATATCATAAAATAACCGATTATATATGTTACCGCTTCTGAAGCACATATTGATCGTCATGTGATACGCTTGTCGCCAGGGATTATGTCAATTCGACGTTGCAAGATGCGAGCAACAAGGAAGTTGCGGGGATCGCTATCGTCGTTCTGGTGCTGGTAGTGTCGCCCATCATCATCATACTGATGCGCAACGCCGTCGCTACTATTCAGGTCTGCGATTCAAAGCCGTCGATTTGATTCCTTTTCATGCTACATGTGACTCTCTTTCATACGTATCGCTTGCAGCAATTTATAGATACGATGTAATAGACTTCAATTTTCATCGCGCATTTTTTCGGCAGAGTCTATAATTTCCTCTCAATTATAATATCTGTACTTTTATCTAATAATTGGGTAATAATCCGAGTTGTGTAGACGATTAAAAATTAAGAACGGATGAGTAGTTTGATAAGTGGATGAAAAAATTTCACCGACACTTTCGACAAAACGAAAAGCTTGACTAATTAATTGACGGAGATTCGATGATTTCTTTCTTAATCATACCATTCGTCTAAATTCAATTCTAATTCGCGATAGTGCAAGCCTTTCAGGCGATCCGGTTGTCGCTTGTCAACGTTAACTTATCCATTGTCGGATACAGAATCAACGGGCGCAGAGCCATGGGGAAACTTTCGTGACCGCATGTTAGTTAGTTCGCATCGTGGCGAATCCCATAATTCAATTCCGAGTAGACGAGTTCTAAGCCGACGACGTCGTCGACAAATAAATGATGCATCACGTGCCTGACATCTTAATGGAAAATCAGTTGTCGAAGGCTGAATCGCGATAAGAGAAGTTCTTGCCTTTAAGGGAAAAATGTTTTTGCTATTTGCAGGATTTCTAACGAGTTTTATTCACGGGGGAAATTAATAGGCGTCGTTATCCGTCAACTGTTGTTTGTTTTCAATTGTCATTTAAGCGGATAAAAACACATTGTCTTTAAAGGATTAAACTGATTTTCTGTGATACTAAAATAGTTTATTTCTTTTATATCCAAAATTTGCATGAAAATTGAAATAACAATTTCTTTAAAAATTTTATTTCTAAGATTCTGATCTTTTTGGAATTAGAATATTAATATTATTGATTACTGATGTTTTAAGTTGAACTTTTTTAATCCTGGCTTCGTGTACAAATAATTGATTATGAAAAATAATGACAGAATAAGCTTTTCTACGGTTTATCTTTTTTTTTCTTTGATATTATGGAGAGAGATGTAATGTACATCAAAATTCTTTAAACATATTATATTTTACCAGTTTGCTAATTAATTACAGATGTACGCCGCGAATCTGGCGCAAAAGGCACGCGAACTCAAGCGCGAGAAGAGGAAGAGCGACACGTTGCTCTTCCAAATGCTTCCACCCAGCGTTGCCCAGCAACTCAAGCAGACTCAACAGGTGAATTTAAAAGTGTTTTGAATTATCTAAATAATTTAAGTATTCTAAGAGTTTGAAATGTCGCTGAAAATTTAAAATTTCGCTTTTCACATATTTATTCAATGTTTAGATGCTTAATTCCTCTGCCGATTTTTCAGCTTCTAAAAGTATTCCTTTTCTTCTAAAAGTACTTCTTTTCAGTACTCTTTTATATTTTTCTAGGTTTTTTGTGTTGCAAATGATTACATAATAATAGAAAAAGTAAACTTTTCTATCCCGTTTATCTATAAAATTCTTTCTTATCTCTGTCACGATCGTAAATTTATAAATCTTTCTGTCCATTAGGTGCCAGCGGAGTATTACGAAGCGGTGACCGTTTACTTCAGCGATATAGTCGGTTTCACGGAGATCGCCGCGGAGAACACGCCCCTCGAGGTACGTCCTCCGTTTTGTTCCCCCGGCGGGAATCGACTGATCGATCTTGACGCGAGTTGCTAAATTACGTGAAAGTTCCACCACGATGCCGTCGCGCTTTTGCTCCTTGCCACGATGATGAAATCGCGCGCATACCACGTAAATTCCCGTAGGACGCAAGACGATTTCGAATCGCATCGCAGCATCGATCCATCAATTCTCCGATGCACTTTTCCTCTTGCTGTTGTTCATCTGTCATTGTATATACATTGAATCAGTGTTTATTTTTACCCTAAAAAATGGGATTTTATCTAATCGAATTTAATCTCACATTTTTACTCACAATGTGCGATTTAATATAATGAATATCGGCGTATTATAGTGATAAGAGATGCGCTTTTCTAGGTGGTGACATTCCTCAACTCGATCTACAAATTATTCGATGCGCGCATCGAATGCTATGATGTCTATAAAGTGGAGACCATCGGGGATTCTTACATGGTCGCTTCCGGTTTGCCTGTTAGAAATGGTAAAAGTACGAAATCCTTGAGACCCAGTTCCGCTTATTACCTGCAACTTTCAAGCATGCTTGTTATCGAAAAAGTGCATCACTTTTCTCCCCGGTTCTCTATATTCATAAATTTTTTTAATTCTTTCATTCTAGTTTTTATAATCTCTCTTTTATTCCCCTTTTTAAATCTTTCAGTTTTGACATAAAACATTCACCTTTCTACAACATTAAAACATCAAATGCAAGTTTTCAAAAATTCTGAAGGCAATTAAAATTTAACTTAACAAAATGTAAAAAAAAGAAATAAAACTCTCGATTAAATTTACTAAAATAAATTTTAAATTATAAACCAATTATAAATAATTAATATTTTTTCTACGTCAAAAAATAAATGAAAGAATTAAACTGCATAAGCAATTATTGTAAAATGATATAGAATTCTTCTTGATGCGGAATACACATTTTACACTTCAGTGCTTGCATTATTTCGCGCAAGAACGATTTTCTTCTTCAGTATATTAATATCTTCACTTGCGATTTTCCTTCTCGCAGGTGACAAACACGTGTCCGAGATCGCCACGATGGCGTTGGATTTATTAGCAGCCTCGTCCGTCTTCCAGGTGCCTAAGCGTCCTGGAGAACGGCTTCAGATACGAAGCGGAGCTCACACCGGACCTGTCGTTGCCGGCATCGTCGGCAGCAAGATGCCCCGTTACTGTCTCTTCGGCGATACCGTGAATACCGCGAGTCGCATGGAATCGACCGGTGAAGGTAATCTAAAAATAATTTAAATATTTATGAAATTATAAACACGTACATAATGAAAATGTCATCAAACTTGTTGCATCTTTAATTTTCAAATTATAATTTGATTTATATTTTCATCACATTTTAATATACTGATTAGTGTTATTTTTCATCCAAGCTCTACGAATTCACATCAGCTTAGAGATGAAAAAAGCGCTCGACGCGGTAGGTGGCTTCAAGATTGAGCATCGTGGCCTCGTTGATGTGAAGGTAATTCGCGAAGTTATTATTAGATCTAATGTGTCGGTCTTTTTTAGCGATTACTGATGCAATTCTTTTCATATTTTATACGTCTTCTCTCTTTCTCTCTCTGCGTCTTGAGAATAACATCAGAGATAAAGGGATAACACAAATTTTTAATGAACAAACAGTTGTAGCACTTGACCAAATTGTTAGTTAGCGGTGTGAATTTCATTTCCGGTTGTGCGTTTCTCAGGGCAAGGGTCTCATGGACACGTACTGGCTGGAGTGCAAGGACGGCGGTATCGCGCGCGCCGCCGAGCTCGATCTGCCGTCATTCTTCGAGGACGTGCGACCGGTCTTCATGCGTCGGCTGCGTGAAGAGGGCACCCTCTGATGTGAACCGTACTCCCGCCGGGACCTCTGGTACCTGAATCGGCGCCCGAACCCATGCATCGTCCGGCTATCGCAACCGAACCTGATCGACCATCTCCGACGACCGGGCCAGGGCCGCAAGAACCGGCTGTCCCATCCGAATCTACACATCACTCCCGTCAGGGCGCCGCCGCAGTCGCAATCCAGCATCGAGTCTCAGGACTCGGGCACGTACGAGGACCGCACCCGCTCGACCACGCCGTGCCCGCCGAGCTACTCGCCGGCGAGCCAACGCAGCCGTTACTCGCAGCCGAATCTGCCGACCCTGCTGATCTCGTACGACCGACGCTCGGGCGGCTCGCCGGACCGTCGCATCCGCATGTCGCAGCCGATCCTCAATTCCAGCCTGAGCGGCATCAACTTCGTCGGCATGAATCGCGGCAACAGCGGCGGCGGCCGTCTATCCTACACCAGTCTGCGCGCCACCTCGGGCGACAACAGCATCAACGAGGAGGAGCGACTCTCCACGCCGAACGTGCACGCGCTGAGCGGCAACGTGAGTCCGCGCGGCAGCTTGACGATGGAGAGGAGCTCGTCGCGGCTCTCCCAGCCGGACGTACGTCGATTCGCTCTGCGGCAGGACAAGCGCGAGCGACTGTCGCAGCCCACCCTCGTCACCGGCGACTACTATCCCGGCCGAGGCCAGCAACGATTGTCCCAACCGTGCCTCAGCAGCGGCCGCGACGTATTCGGCGTGCCCTCGCCGCCGCCTTACCCGCTCAAACACAAGAGATTCGCGCCCGCTGTGATGCAGGCTAGCCAGCGCGACCGCCTCTCGCAGCTGGACATCGGCGCCAAGTACCGAAACATCAAGGATTTAGGCGGCAACGCGTCGCAGGTCAAGTTCAATCGCGATCGCTTCTCAATACCGGAGCTGGAAACGCAGAACGACCTGCGGCTGATCGCCGGTACGCCAAAGCAGCGCTTCAGTCTCGACAGCCAGCTAACGAAGCAGCGCTTCAGCCTCGACAGTCAGGATAGCTGCAAGTCGCGGCTGCTGCCGATCGCCAGCTCGCCGATCTTCGAGCACCAGCAGATGAAGACCGAAGATCTCACCGGGATAACGTCCGCGCGGCTAAAGAGCCCGACCTGCGAGGGCCTCGGGAGCGTGATTGTCGCGAGCACATCGCCGATCTTCCCGCCCGGCGAAAGGCGATTCCTGGCGCCGGATTTTCCGTTCGGCAGGAAGTTATCGACCTCGCCGTCGCCGCCCAAAGACGCGCCCAAAATCGGCAAAACGCGCGGCAAACCACCGCAGATACCGATGCGCGAGAGGATGTCCGTGCCAGAGATCAGGAACTCGAGTCTACGTCGGTTGCTCGATCCACCTAGTCGGCAACGGCATAGCATCGCCGGCAATCTGAGGCAATCCCTGCTGTCGCCGATGAAGCTGCCGGAGTTCGGCGTCGGCAACAGAAAATCGCCGCGGTACTCGATCGACGACGCGCTGGAGAAGCTGAAGAGAATCGAGAAGGAGGAGAACCGACGAAATCAGGAGGTGAGCGAGGAAAAGGGACAGGAGGCCAAGGAGCAGGATCAACAGCAGGAGCAGCTGGAACCGAAGCACATCCAGCGACACTACTCGTACACGTACGAGAGCGAAGAGAGCGGTAGCGTGTCGACACTGGGCAAGCTGAGTATGAGCAGCACACCGAAGCGCAAGTACCTGGAGAGCAACTTCGACGAGAACGAGCAGGTGATCACGACGGTAATCGAGACGGAGATGCCGATGATCCTGCCGAGCACGCCTGGCAAGTATACGAAGAAGGTGCAGGCGTACTCGAGCGAGACACCCAAGTGGATCCGGAAGTATCTGGAAAACGAAAGTCCGAGGATAACCAGAAAAACCTCCACCCCCACTGGCAGCAACAAAGACCAGGTCAGCAGGGCGAACCGCCGGAGCAGCCGCAGGAAAAGCTCGCTCGAATCGATCGAGTCTGTGACGAAAAAACCCGAGGAAAAAGCTCGTTCCAAGTCTGTCAGCAGTGAGGAGAGAAGCGCCTCCGTGGAACAGAAAGGCGTGCGGGAGACCTACGTGAGAATCGTGCCGGCCAGCACCGCCCAGGAGGAGAACAGGTACGAGGTCGGCGCGGTGGACGCCACCGCGACTTCGTGGACGAAGACCGACGGCCGCGGTCTTTACGGCGACGACACCGACACGGACGATTCCACGTCAATCTAAACGCAAATTTCGTGTATCATCAGTTCAGGATGAATTGCCGCATCAAATTCGATCATTCTGATCATTGCCGTTACCGAAGAAATAAAATGTCTCAATCAATTTGACGTCCATATACATTTGAAAAACAGTAATTAATGAATACATTATAATCTTGTAAATTTTTTTCAATTAAAATATGAAAAATTATAGCATAATGAAACATTTTATATAAAACTTATAATTAATATAAATTATATTATAAAACAAATTTTTTATCACAAAAATTTATATTAAAATTGCATCAACAATAGAAATAATAGAGCGATCGAGTTATGTAATTCATCCTGTACAGGAGCAGGAAGAAATTTGATACAGTTTTAGATACCTTGGGGCTATTAACATATTGATTGTCATTCTGAAAGTATGTCATGCAGAAAAGCTAATTAAGTTACGTGCTCGACAGCAATTTATATGATTAATGGACTAATTATCATGTAAAATTCCTAGAACAATATTATTATATTAAAACCGATAAACTTTTAAATTTTCGGTTCAGTGTTCTTGGTTACAAATCAAAATTTTATACAAAATTTTGATCGCAGACGATTAAAATCTTAACCGTGAAGTGAATCCGAAAAAATTATTGGCGCTGTTTAAAATGATTACAAGTAAAAATTCTCCATTTTCAATTTACAAGCACACAGTACCAAGAGACTGAACGGAAGATACACAGTGAAACAAGACTAACACAAATCAGACCGTGATCAAGGCAGATACGAGAAAGAAATTATCTTGAAGAGAAAAATCTCGCGTGTTTTGTACTTAAAAAAACGCCGCGCGCTTAACATCTCGTTCGGCGGAGTGAAAACCGGAAGTAGAAACCGGTGAATGCGGATATCTATTTTTGCACAAACAGAGGACCACGATATTATGCGCGATACTCCGCATATGCGTTTAGCCTAAATAATACTCAGATCTGTGCTTTATGACTTTCTCGATTTCAAAGTAACTTCTGTTTTGTATATATCACGAACGTCCAAGAACGCGCACAGCCGAAAAGAATATACAGGACGATCGAAGACTCGCAATTCGTGTGAGGACTTGGAAACTTTTTATTTCTTGTCGGGAAAATATTTTTCACTTGCAATCATGGCGTCGGATCTCTGCAGTGTACGTGCGCCATATCGAGTAACCTGTCGATTAAGCTTGCAAGAATTTTCTTCCGATCTTCATCGAATCCTTCGACCAAAGTTGAATCGCATTTATTGAATTTTCAGTCTACATGCATTCTGATTGAATTTCAAAGAGTAGTGCGAGATCGTTCGATCGTGCTGCGTATAGCGCACGTTTGAAGTACACGTTGTTATCTCGGAGTGCATTATTTTTATCAAGAAATAAGTAATCCAAGCTTGCATCGAGAAAGCTGTTGTAGTAATTAAGTGTAAAGGCAGTCATCTTGTACATATATCGGCTATAGAGAATTATACTGCTAAATGTCCACCGTTGCATCATTAGAGAAATCGTGTGAGGACTTGTAGACTTTTCATTTCTTGTCAGCAAAATATTTTTCACTTGCCACCGTGGCGTCGGATCTCTGCAATGTACGTGCACCGTACCTATCGCAAAATAAATTTATTTAAGATTTCACGCAACGCAGACGCGCAGATATTCATTTTTGCTGATACTAGTCATTAACAAGATCTTATGGGCGCTCCGATACATACAGGGTGTCTTCAACGAATGAATATTTAATCGACAGTAATCTGAAATTGAATTAATTTATAAATTTTTAATCAAAACTATTACATGCTGCTTTATAATTTAGTTTATAAATTTATAAATTTGATCTATAAAGCGCTTCTCCAAACTTATTGAAATTCGAAAGAACTATTTTTGATCATTTGAAAAGACTATTTTGAAGTAAATTTGTTTAAGCTTACCTGTGCTTCTCTTTATTCTTCTTATTTGTAAGAAAAATGTATTGTTAATTAAACACCCTGTACGTATACACGCATAATCTTTTCGTGAACAGTCCGATACGAATGCGAATGTGTATGTGAACGTGAGTAGCTTTATTTAGTAGATATATATATATATGTGTATGTGTATATATATATTTTAAATATATATATATATATATACACACATATTTATATATACATACATGTCATTTTATTCCTATATACTATATTATATGTATGGCATTTAATACATGAGTAATGATGTCAAATATTAGCGAATCAAAATGTGCATAAAAGATACATTATTCTTTGTAAAAAGAAAACATGCCCTTTGTGTATACTCGATTATATATAAGTCGAAATATATAATCCATTGTTATAGCCTGATACAATTCTTTAAATTCTTCGGTTCTTCAGTCATAATTCAACTTTTTAGTAACATCTTGTTACATA